TCAAGAAGATAAAAATCATATCAAGAGTCTTCTCAGATCACAATGGCATAAAACTAAAAATCAACTACAATAAAAACAATTAAAAAATCAAACACCTGGGAGCTAAATAGAATGCTATTAAACAATGACTGGGGTACCAAAGGGATCAAAGAAGAAATAAAAATCATCATGGCAACTAATGACAATGAAAAAATAACAATCCAAATTCTATTGGACACATTGAAAGCAGTCTTGAGAGGTAAGTTCATAGCTTTACAGGCCTACCTCAAAAAACAAGAAACAATGAAAATAAACTTGGAATAGTATTATAGTTGTTCTATTGGAGTTTTCTCCCCATATAAATAGTTTTCCCCTTCCTTTTTACTCTCTTTTCTCTCTTACTTTTTTTTTTCCTTTTCTCAATATCATTTTTGCACTCTTTTTTTTAATGCTACAATGCAAAGAGTTAGAAAGAGAGCAAAAAGAAATGCCCAACATAAGCAGAAGGAAGGAAATAAGAAAGATCAGAGTGGAGATACACGAAATAGAGAACTAATAGCAACAACAGCAACAATAATAATAATAATAATAATATAAAGATCAACAAAACTAATACCTCATTCTTAGAAAGGATAAACAAGCTCATCAAGAAGCAAAGAGAGAGGACCCAAATAAACAAAATTAGAAATGAAAAATGTGAAGTAACATTCAACCCCACATAAATACAAATGATTATGAAAAAATACTATGAATAAATCTATTCCAACAAAATGGACGACCCAGATAAAATGGACATATTCTTATAAAAATACAAACTTCCAAAACTCAATCAAGAATAATAAAAAATAAATAAAAAACTGAATAGGCTGATAACTACTGAATAATTGAAACAGCGATCAAGAAAACTTTCAGAAAAAAAAAAGCCCTCATCTAGACAGCTTTACAAGGGAGTTCTATCAAGCATTCAAATAAGATCTAAAACCTATCCTCCTCAGACTATTCCAAAATATTCAAGAGGAAGGCACACTTCTAAGCTATTTCTATGGGATATTTTCAAAATAGATCACATATTGGGACACAGTCAAAGTCTCTCCAAATTTCAGAGTATTGAAATCATATTGAGCATCTTCTCAGATCACAATGGCATAAAATTAGAAATCAATTACTGTAAAAATAATCACAAAAATTCAAAAACTTAAAGGCTAAATAACACACTATTAAAGAATGAATGGGTTACCAAAGAGATCAAAGAAGAAATAAAACACAACCTGAAAACAAATGACAATAAAAATACAACAATCTAAAATCTTTGGGATGCAGTGAAAGCAGTCCTGAGAAGGAAATTCATAGCATTACATGCCTACCTGAAAGAAAGAAAAAAGAGAAACAAACTGATTATAAACCATTTAACTCTGCAACTTGAAGAATTTGACAGAGAGCAACAAGAAACAAGAGAAGCTCAGTGTGATCAGAAGGAAGGAAATAATAAAGATCAGAGCACAAATAAATGACATAAAGACAAACAAACAAACAAAAAAATCAATGAAATTAAGGGCTGGTTCTTTGAAAGGATAAACAAGATTGATGAACCTCTAGCAAGGCTCACCAAGAAGCTAAGAGAGAGGACCCAAATAAACAAAATAAAAAATGAAAGAAGAGAAATAGCAGAGCACACAGAAATACGAAGAATCGTAAAAAAAAAAAAAAAAAAAAAAAAAAAATGCTATGAGCAATTCTACTCCAACAAACTGGTCAATCTAGAAGAAATGGACATATTCCTAAAAAAAAAAAAAAAATGAGCTTCCAAAACTCAACCAGGAGGAATAAAAAAAATTGAATAGGCCAATAACTATGGAGGATGTTGAAGGAATAATAATAATAATAATAAAAACTTCTGCCGAAACTGGTTTGGCTCAGTGGATAGAGCATCAGCCTGCAGACTGAAAGGTCCCGGGTTCGATTCTGGTCAAGGGCATGTACCTTGGTTGAGGGGAAAACCCCAGTAGGGGGAGTGCAAGATGCAGCTGATCAATGATTCTCTCTCATTGATGTTTCTAACTCTCTATCCCCCTCTCTTCCTCTCTGTAAAAAATCAATAAAACATATATTTTTAAAAACTTCCAACAAACAAAATTCTTGGACTAGACAGCTTCACAGGGGAGTTTTATCAAATATTCAAAAAAGAAATAAAACGTATCTTCCTCAGACTATTTAAAAAATCCAAGAGTAAGGAGCACCTCCACGCTTCTTCTTGAAGCCAGCATTAACCTAATTCCAAAACCAGGAAATAACAATACAAAGAAAGAGAATTACAGGTCAATATTGCTCATGAACATGGATGCCTAAATCCTCAACAAAATTTTAAAATGGAATCCAGCATTACATTAGAAAGATCATACACCATGACCAAGTGGGATTTATCCTGGGGGTGCAAGGATGATATAACATCAACAAATAAATAAATATGATACACCACATAAAGAAACTGAGAGTCAAACTGGTTTGGTTCAGTGGATAGAGCATCGGTCTGCAGACTGAAGGGTCCCAGGTTCGATTTTGATCCAGGGCATCTATAATACCTTGGTTGTGGGCACATCCCCGGTAGGGGGTGTGCAGGAGGCAGCTGGTCAATGTTCCTCTCTCATCAATGATCTCTCTCATCAACGTTTCTAGCTCTCTGTCCCTCTCCCTTCTGCTCTGTAAAAAAATCAATAAAATATATTTTAAAAAAATAAACTGAGAGATAAAAGCCATATAATCATATGCATAGATGCAGAAAAAGCATTTGATAAAATCCAACACTTTCTTGATAAAAACTCTTAGCAAGGTGGGAATAGAAGGATCATACCTCAACATAATAAAGCCATATATGAAAAACCCACAGCTAACATCATACTCAATGAGCAAAAACTAAAACCATTTCATCTAAGAAGAGGAGCAAGACAGGGATGCCCACTCTCATCACTCCTGTTTGACATAGTAATGGAAGTACTAGCCATTGTGATCGGACAAAAAGAATAAAAGGCATCAAAATTGGAAAAGAAGAAGTAAAATTGTCCTTATTCACAGATGACATGGTATTATACATAAAGCACACACACACACACACACACACACACACACACACACGCACACACACACAAAGACTCCATTCAAAAACTACAAGACTTGATAAATAAATTTGGCAATGTAACAGGATACAAAATGAACACCCAGAATTCTATGACTTTTCTATACACAGATAATGAGCTCCCAGAAAGAAAAATATAAAAAGCAACCCCATTTACCATTTCAATAAAAATTAAGATAACTAGGAATAAATTTAACAAAGGAGACAAAGGACCTGTACTCGGAAAATTTCAGGATGCTGAAAAAAGAGATAGAGGAGGACATGAACAAATGGAAGAACATACTATGTTTATGGATAGGTAGAATCAACATCATTAATATGTCCACACTACCCAAAGCAATCTATAAATTCAATGCAATCCCCATTAAAAGACCTAGAACAAATTATCCAAAAATTCATCGGGAAAAAAAAAAAAAAGACCCCAAATGCCTGCAACAATCTTAAAGAAGAAAAACAATATTTGATGGATCATAATGCTAGATATAAAGCTACACTACAAAGCCACTGTTCTCAAAACTGCCTGTTACTGGCACAAGAACAGACATATAGACCAGTGGAATAGAACAGGGAACACAGATGGACATAAGCCAGTATGCTCAATTAATATTTGACAAAGAAAGCAAGAACATGCAATGGAGTCAAGACAGTCTCTTCAATAAATGGTGTTGGAAAAACTGGACAGATAATTGCAAAGAAAATGAAACCGGACCACCAACTTATACTATACACAAAAATAAACTCAAAATAGATAAAGGACTTAAACGAAAGATGGGAAACCATAAAAAATCTTAGAAAAAAACATAAGCAACAAAATAGAAGACATTTGTCAAAGTAATATCTTTACTTATACAACTCATAGGGCAATTGAAACAAAAGATAAAATAAATAGGACTACATCAAAATAAAATCTTCTGCACAACAAAAGAAATCAGCAACAAAACAATAAGAAAGCCCACTGCATGGGAGAACATATTTGTCAATGTTATCTCCAATAAGGTTTTAATCTCCAACATTTACAAGGAACCCATACAACTTAACAAAAGGAAGACAAAAAATCCAATAAAAAAAAAATGGGAAAAGGATGTAAATAAACACTTTTTGAAAGAGGACATTCAGAAAGCCAAGAGACATATGAAAACATGCTCAAAGTCACTAATCATCCCAGAGATGCAAATCAAAAAAAAAAAATGATGTACCACCTCACACCTATCAGAATAGCTATAATTAACAAATCAACAAAAGACAAGTGCTGGAGAGGATGTGGAGAAAAAGGACCCCTCCTTCACTGCTGGTGGGAATGCAGACTGGTGCAGCCATTGTGGAAAACAGTATGGAGTTTCCTCAAAAATTTAATAATGGAACTGCCATTTGACCCAGTAATACCACTTCTAGGAATATATCCCAAGAAACAAGAAATGCCAATCAGAAAGGATATATGCACTCCTATGTTCATAGCAGCACAATTTACAATAGCTAAGATTTGGAAACAGCCTAAATGCTCATCAGATGAATGCATTAGGAAATAGTGATATATCTACACAATGGAATACTACAATGCTATAGAAAAAGGAATTCTTACCATTTGCAGCAGCATTGATGTGACTGGAGAGCATTATGCTAAGTGAAATAAGCCAGTCAGTGAAAGAAAAATACCACATGATCTCACTTATTTATGGATAATAAAGAACATTATAACATGATGAACAAAAAGATAGATACAGAGGTAGAGATGCATCAAACAGACTGTCAAATTTCAGCAGAAAGGCTGGTGGCAGTGTGGGGGGAGGTAAGGTAAGAGATCAACCAAAGGACTTGTATTTATGCATATAAGCATAACCAATGGATGCAAGCAATAAGGGGGGGAAGTGAGGGCATGTGTCAGAGAGCGGGGGAAGCTGGGTGAAGGTCAAGGGGAAACAAAAGGCAACATATGTACTACTATTTGTAATATTTTAAACAATAAAAAGTAAATTAGTATATAAAAACTATTTAATAAAAATTAATAAAAGTAATAAGAAATGAGTATAAAGACCATTTCTATGAAGAATATAAACCGTAAAATCCAGATATTATCTATATTTAATACGATGAAGTTTTATTCACCATTTATGATCCATGCACAAATATGAACTGCACACAGCTCAAAACTTAAATGCATACATTGCCCCCCGGAAGAATGGTTTCCAAGCATTTTTATTAAAGAGAAAAATGCCCACTCAGAACCACTTACCATTCATAATGATATACTCCTTCCAGGTAATTATTTAACAACTAGAGGCCCTGTGCATGAAATTTGCACGCTGGGGTGGGGGTGTCTATCAGCTCAGCCTGCAATTTCTCTAATCTGGGACCCCTCAGAGAAGGTCTGACTGCTGGTTTAGGCCCAATCTCTATGTATGTCCTCTTTGGAGAAGTGTCTATTCAGGACCTTTGCCCATTTTTAATGAGATTGTTTGTTTTTCTGGTGTTGAGTTATATAAGTTCTTGCTAGATGTACACAGAAATCACTTGAATATATTGTAAAATGCAGGCTTTCATTCAGTAAGTAGATCTGAGGTGAGGGTTATGATGCTCTGTATTTATAGCAAGTTCCCAGATGATACCAATGCTGCTGGTCCATTGACTACATTTTGACCAGCATGGAGCTAAGATAAATTTTTATGACCAACACAGAAAAAAGCAACATCTTTTTTTTCTGGAATGAAATAAAATCTAGGCCAAGTCTTGGCCAAAACAGGAATAGAAGAAAACAACTTCATTCTACTTTCAGCATTATTTTGACAGCACTCTTACACTCTCAAGTGTCTGAAGTTTATTTATCAAGATTCCAAAGACCCCGAATCCATATAACCCCAATACTGGCTCATGTCACTTTATGTCCACACTCATTCCATGAATAGGTATAGGGTAGGAATGCTTATTTTATTTTTTTTCAAATTTCTTTTTTTCAAATTTCTTTTTTTCAATTTTTTAAAAATTTCTTTATTGATTTAGGTATTACAAATGTATCTTTATCCCCCCCATTACCCTCCCATCTCCCCGACTCATGTTCTCACCCCTCTGGTGTCTGTGTCTATTGGTTAGGCTTATATGCATGCATGAAAGTCCTTTGGTTGATCTCTCCCCCTTACCCCCACCCTCCCTTACCTTCTCTCTGAGGTTTGAGCACATAAACTGATGAACATAAACAGCTCCAGAGACAGAGAAAATGCACCTATGACTTTTAAAGCTTATGCTAAAAATAGCCGTTCTGTAAAAGTAATTTACCTCTCCCTAAGACAGATTCCATCCTCTATTTGTGTCACATTAAATTTATCAATTTTCAGAGAAATAAAGTATATATTAACCAAAACACAAAAAGTATGTGTTAATCTGTATTAAACATGAGCTGTGGGCATAATTAGTTTGTGCTAAAGTTCACTAGTAAAACAGCATCTACATTAGTGTTATAAGCAAAATTGCTCTTAATTCTGCAAATGAGGTTCAGAGTCCAACATTAGTTAAAAATTACTGTAAAGACAGAAACTTTGTTCATTTGCCTGATTTCATGCAAATTATCTGACATTATGGAAATCTATAACCTCAAGACCCCAAACAACAGTATTTCATTCAGGTTAAAAACTTTGCTGTAAGTTGTAGAGCAGACCCTAATACACATTATTGAGGAAATTTAATTAGTTATTTAATTAGTCATCATGCTTTCTCAGTGTGATAAGCATTGAACTATTATTTCAGAGATCTCCCATTTGGTTCAGTGACTCTGGAAAATATGTTAGTTGAAGAAGAAAACAATTAACACGTTTAAAGCACAGTGAAAAAGACTGAATAAAAGAAATTATATAAAGACAATGGTAACAGAGACATATATGGTATAGAAAAAGGCAGCAACCATGGGGAATAATTTGCAATTTTATTCAGGCTAGGTCAATTATATACAATGCAGGTCTTGATTATCCATGTACATATACGCTGATAATCATACTTAGTTTCTGCTCCTGCAAATATGATTATACACAAAAGATGTTAAGTGGTTCTTTGTTAAAGAGAAGTAATGTTTTTTATTATTATAGTCCTCAAAAGTTTCCATCCAAACATTACTTCTGATGATATATGTATTTGGAGCTATTCATTGCTCTATATTTGAAGTAACAGTAGATCATTGTCCCTACAGAATTTTATGAGTGAATAACCAATTATACGAATATAACTTCATAATCTATCTACACTCCCTTCTTTCTTGTGTAGATTAATAGTATTTGAAAGGAAATTAATTGAACCAATAATCACTACTCTTGACTGAAAGGAAAAAAAAATACACACAAGGCAACATATTTTTCCCATGTCACTAGAGATAAAGGTTTAGACACAAATGGATTGTACATTTACTAAAAAGAAAAACAACTAAAAAAAAAAACTTGTTCTGTCACACATGTCAAGGAACATGGGGAGAAATGTGTCTTTATTCTGCTATTCTTTGAGAAATATTTGAAAACTATTGAAGAGCAGAATATTTTCAAGACAACAGCAAACATTATTCTCAAAAATGAGCACTTCAAATCTAAATCGGCTAACGTACATACAGAACACTTTTATTTCTCCATTTAAACATGTACAAAATATGAGTCTAAAAATGACTGCAAATATTCCGCATGAAGACATTTTATGCTAAAACCCATTTTTGGCACTTTTGACAAGAAAATAACATAATGTGTTAGCCTAAATTCTGGATAGAAAGCAAGAGAAATGAATTTTTATAGAGAAATCAAAACCTGATCCAACTCTGCAGGCTCACTTAAATATTCTGGGAGAGTTTAAGTGCACAGTAAAATGATATAATCAGAACATGTATCAGGTGAGGACATATTTGTGCATTGAAAATGCATTTGCCTTGGCAAGCCAGATTTTAATACGACTGTGATGAAGTTGATAATAGAAGACAAACTATTCTGAATGATTTCACAAAATGGGGTGGGAACTGGGGGGAGGAGAGCTATGGGGAGGGATGGAGAAATAATTGTAATAATCTGAACAATAAAGATTTATTAAATTTTTAAAAAATGTCATGCTACGGGGAAAAGATTTATACACATGAACTTAACATTCATTTATTGACAGAAAAAAATTTTCAATTTTTCAAAACTAAAGATGCTGCTTATTGCAATTATCATTTCACATTAAGCCAAGTAAAGAATTCATAGTTCACTGTCTCTTTATATATACATGGTATAAAATCAAATCTGTACTTAAAGATGAATAATGATGTTACCACCGTTATAATATTTTCTTTAATATATTTTCAATTTTAGGTTCACATTTAATTTTGCATCAGTAATTATTCAAATGACTAATTTCAGCTGTTAAGATATCTTTCTAAACCAACTAACTAAAAATAACCCATGTAATTTCAGAAAGTCAATGGATCTTCAATTTACTTTTATTATACTTCTGCCAAAGACCATGTTGGCTCCCTTCAAGACAGTTCAAAAATATAAATGATAGCCTCCTGGCTTTTCAGTGTGCACATAATTGATTGTTGGCAAGAAGAGGTGGAGCGAGAAAGCTTTTAAATTGTAAGGAGAATGTTGCTGAAGGACGGAATATAATTTCTCAAAATCTGCAGAGGTCTTATCAGTATGTAAGGAACAGATGAATGGCAAACAATGTGGCAGGACAACAGATGTGTTTCTAGCCTATAGTAATTAAAACAACAAACTACAATAAGTAAAAGATAATATATAGCTAATAAAAAACATCCAGCACAGTGAACACAAAAAAGAGTGTCCTTTATTCCTTCCTTAGAAATTTGGAGACTTCTATACTATTAAGTAATAATACAATTCCTAATACTATTCTCAGGTAGAACCCTGCTTTTTTGTTACAATAGTAAAGAGTTGTCATGTTTTTTCTAGAACAAAAAGTAGTATTTTATATGTAGAGCTTTGATGCAGTGATGCAGATGTTACTATGCAATACTGCAAGCATTTTTATGTTATTAATATTTTTGTCCTCTGGTACCAATGATCTGTTAAGCCAGGTACTCAGTGGGCCATACTAAGGCAAAAGATTATGTAGACAAGGAAGGGAGAGGAGAGATTAAGGGGAAAGAAAGGAAATCAGAGAATCAGTGATAATCACTGGCAGTATATTGTATATTAGAGTTGTCTTTGAAGGAAAAGTGGTACCAAAAGAGCTTTCTTATATGGTAATCTGTGTGCACTGCTTTCCCCAACCAGATTAATATAAAGAGAATAAATTTAGAGAATGTTTCTTTTTGTCCCTTTAATATCCATCTTGAGAATCTCATGACATATAGCAGTTAAAACAGAACCTTATATGTGATAGGAGCTCAGGCAGTTCTAGAGATGCTTACTGATTTAACCAACCATAACCTTTTCATTTAACACACTGGCATTTTTTAAGTATAACACATGTACTGTTGATTGATTATAATGTCATATTTTTCTGAACTAGTTTTTGTTAATGTGTATGTTTGTATGTGTGTATGACATATTAATTCACTCATATGGGCACTGATCCAGGACATGGGACACAGCTGTCAACAAATCTAACAACAAGAACAACAAAACCTTTGCTTTCACTGGGAGAAACATATAATAAGTAAATTAATGAATTAAAGCATGTTGAATATTAAATAGTATGAAGAAAAATAAAGCAGTACAGAAAGGAGTGCTGATATTTTAATATTTTTATATTTTAAATACAATAGTCAAGACAAGCCTCTGTAAGGTAAAAGTTAAAAAATATTTGAAATTGGAGAAGGCTCAATAGACAGCAATCTGGACAGGCGTCTTCAAACTACGGCCCACGGGCCACATGCGGCCCGCAGAGGAGTCTGATCCGGCCCGCCAGGTTTTTTGGGCAGTGAGCGCAGCCGAGGTGTTACAGTAGGAATTAGTAGTTCATATAGTCCGGCCCTCCAGCTCTCTGAGGGACCGTGATCTGGCCCCCACTTTAAAAAGTTTGAGGACCCCTGGGAGGAAATAGAAAGCTGTTAAGGATGAAATGGTATTTTCAAACCATGCAAAGCTGATATGAAGATGTAGGGATTGAATGAAAAGAAAATGCCACAGGACTGAAGTTAAGGTTCAGGTCACATCAAAGTTTAAAGTCCTATAAGATCTATTACAGATAATTTCTGTATCTATGTGCCTCCCTGCTCTCTTCCTTTAGTTCTCTGAGGGCTCTCATACACACTCAAGAATGAGCCCTGTCTAGTCAACTATACTGTCTGCATTCTACTGGCCATTAAGTGTTAAAAACAACATACTTCCAAATATTTTCTGTCTCACTATCCTGAGTTGAGTGGGCTCTGCCACGTGCATTGTTTACTGCAGCCTTAGTAATTTTAATATGGATTCTGGCCAAAAATTTTGATAAGATATGTTTAAAGTAATAATGACAGAAATGTCTCAAAGGAAAAAAATAACCAAGCTGGTTGTTAACATGAAATCTTTATAGAGGCTGAAGATACCTTCAATCAAATGGTAGACAGAACAGGTTAAAATAAGAATGCAAATGAAATTTGGGAAGCCCTTTTGATACCATAGTAATTAGTTATTAATAGTAGAAAGGAGCAAAGAGAAGGCCAGACATTATAGACATGCTCCCTGCAAAACACTGGGTAAAGAAAACACATATGGAAGATTCTTGTCTCTCAATCATACCTGGGGACAGAGATGGTTGGTCAGAATGGACGTGGCCATTGCAAGCTCAGAGGAATTTGGAATATATAACCCCCTGAACAAAGAAGCTCACTCTCTTATTGTCTTGGCTTTTCTTGGGTCCTTGGCATGCTTGGCTTCCCATGTGGCCCATGGCCATTAGGGATCACCAAACATAAAGGACTAATGGACTGCAGCTAGCATGATGCAGTACTGAACCCATCTCCAACATGGAAAGAAAACTTAACACTGGTTCTGATTTTAACTCTACTGAAACTCCAGCTACACTTCTAGGACTGAACTAAAGGAAATGGGACCTTGTAAAACCATTCCACAAAAATAAAACTTTTTACTATGTCACATACTCTCATGGGGGCCTCTGGAAATACTTATCCCAGCAGTACCCCAAGAACCCCACTCCCACTAGCAAGTGGGAAAGAAGAGGCACATTTTTCTCTGATAACACTTTGATATAACAAAATGCATCACAAGCTGCTGAAACTTGGGCTGTTGTGAAGGATGGTTGGAAGCAACTATGATTAAAGACATTTTATGACTTCAGGGCATTTGAAGAAAACAAAATGATTCTTAATGGAACATTTTTGAACAATTCTCCATAGGGATTGTGTTGAAAAGGTTTTGACTGATTGAATTGGTGCTTCCATTTGCAGGAATTTATAATACAGTACACACCCACAAACACACACATCCACACCCTCATACTTTTTCTATTGGTTGGCAATAAAAGCAGTGCTTTCAATGGAAGTGTTACTTTTTTAAAAAAAAGACATCTTTTTTAATCGAAGACTATTGTGCTTTTTGAGGTGGAATTTGCTTGAAATTCATCTTGAAGAAGGATAATATCTCCAATGCTATCTAATCCAATACTACTGTTTTATAAATTGTGAAATTGATGCTAGAGAGAGTCAATATCTTGTGTAAGGTCACTACATCAAATGAGTGACAGATATGATAATTTAATTTGGGTTTCCAAACTTCTGCATGTGGAAAATTACACATAAGCAAATATAAAGCAAACTAGCCTATAAGATATTTTCTCTTTCTCTTTTTAAATGCATAGCATGCCTTTATCTTCTAGACTATTATCATGTGTGTTTTAGTCAAAGAATTGTAGAAAATGTCTGGAATTTTTATTTAAATTCACCAGAGTAAACACTAGTTTACACTTTGAGGAAAGAATCCATGTTTTACTCATCTTTCTCTATTTCTGTGACATATAACAAAAATGTTTTACATTTTATGAGTACCCACAGAAAGCCGATTGAGTGACAAGGAGCACTTCTTGAAATATCATATAAAAATAAATCACAACATATTATTATCATTAATTTCCCAATGAGTAATAATTGCTACCATTTATCCAATGCCAGGAACTGTGCAAAGAAATTCATGTTCATGTTTCAAACATTCTATTACATAGATATTATTACTCTCCCCATTTTATAGATGAGGAAACTGAGGTCCAAATAAAATGGTACACTTGCCAAGTCATGCAGCTACTAAGATATATGAAGCAGTAAGTAGAACGTGGACTTGATTGATTCTACACTGCACTATGTTGTAATAAAAAAAGGAAATATAAACATTAAAATAGTAACAAGAGTCACAATGAACAGAACACACAAGATTGACAAGTATCCAGTCTTGTACCAAATTTACATGAGACAACAGGAGAATTAAATTTTCTGTATGGTTTAGTGGGGCTTGTTTTCCAACATTTTTTAAATGCTCCCAGAGTTTAGAAATGAGAACAATTATCTGGGCTGAAGATAAGAGGAAGGGTAGAATTGTAACTCAAACAATGATTCCACCAGCCATTATAAAAATTAACAGAGTAAATCTGTTGGCCTACAAATGACAATAAATGCAATTCTGGGGAACTGTTTCAATGAAGCATATGTCAAAAGTACCTGAACATTTGGCAAAGCATGCCTCCAAAAATTGTATATTAAGTCAATTTCCTGGTTTATATATTATATAGCAGCATATTTTCCCTACTGAAGTTCTCTTCCTGAGACCTACTTCTGTAGAACTATTCTTAATAATGGCCACTAATTAAAACTTACAATGTGTATAGCAAGCATGTAAAAATGTATTAGAATATCTATTTTACATAAAAAATGTCATACATCCCTTATCATTCTAAGAAGATATTGAACATGTAGATTATACATTTGTGGCAGTTATCAAGGATTTCAGCCAAAAGTAGAGAAAGAATAGTTACAAGTTAATGCCAGTGACTTAGGCTGGGATTATTTTATTACAACCTTGGTTTTAATCATGCCTTGTCCAATATTTTAGAAAATATTTGTTTAATATGTGTACTTCTAAACAGGAATTTTGGAATTCTAATTAATGAATCTACCTTGAAAATTATGCCTCCACAGTTTTCTAGAAATTTGTCTGCAAGTCTTTCTAGAATTTTTGGCCAGTCACTCTAGATAACTATACTTTTCCAAAATGTCCATTGCTTTCAAATGCTATTTCTGCATTAAAAGGGAGTGAGAGTCAAACATCACCTTCAAAAATCCTTCCAGGAGTAGAAGGTGGGTACAAAGACACATTTGTCACTTTGGTGTATCAAGGGAGGCCTAGGCACAACATCTTGGGAAAGCAGTTTCCTCAGGGAACACTGCACAGGTGAATAATAATGCAAAGCTTTATAACTGTCAGTGAAAGTGGCATTTGTATGACTAAAACAAAATTAGGCTTCTCTAATGTGTCATCCACATTGAATTCAAAATGATCAAACACATACTTCTGAGCCACTCATTACTATATTATTTCTCTACTCTCCACAACACCCTACCAATCAAATTAACATACCAGGCAACATTACTTGGTGTTAAATCCTATCTAGAAGCTTGTGAAATCTCAACTGCAAAACATAAATATTTCCTGTAGTATTCTTACTGCCAATCTAAAATTATATGTGAAAGATACAGTAATGCCAAAGTCAAATAATGCAAGGGTATTAGTGTAGTATCTTGCTCTATTTAAATAATGTAATTTATTACTCAGAAAATAATATTTGCTAAAATGGTTTAAAATCTCTCTCTCTCTCTCTCTCTCTCTCTCTCTCTCTCTCTCTCTCTCTCTCTCTCTCTCTCTCTCTCCTCTCTCTCCTCTCCTCCCTCTCCCCTCTCCCCTCTCCCCTCTCCCCTCTCCCCTCTCCCTCTCCCCTCTCCCCTCTCCCCTCTCCCCTCTCCCTCTCCCCTCTCCCCTCTCCCCTCTCCCTCTCTCCTCTCCCCTCTCTTCTTTCTCTTTCAGAGGAAATGGATTTTGAATTACTGATTAGTGTGGCAAGCATCCATTTGCCATCCAAATATCATGTTCTCTCTCACATCTATGTTTCTCTCTCTCTCTTTTTCTTCCCCTCTCTCTAAAATCAATAAGCATATCCTTGGGTGAAGATTAAAAAATGTTCTTATGAATTTCAAGTAGAATTTTACCAACTCAGTCACTACTTTACACACAGATTATAACAGAAAAATGCTGTGTTTTAAATCTTAGAGGCCCTGCATTGGGATGCTGACTATGCAAATTGAAATCCTTTTGTCCTACACAACTTTTTCTAATTCTCAATTTCTTCATTGGTAGAATCAAGAAAACATTTTATTTG